AAGGCAGTTAATAATTCAACGCAACAACAAAAACCACATTGAGAGTCCTTGCAGGTCTGTCTTTAACTTCCTTAATGCAACTATACTGAGTCCTCCTCTTCCCATCAATGCGTGCTCATACTTTCCTGTCACTTAATTTGCAGCAACAGCTTTTATTTGCAGCAACTATTTTCAGGGCAAGATATTACGCAATGGTGCGATTTCGCACAATTGACCTCAAATCGCATCTGATCGCACAATTTGAGGAAAACTGCATAATTCGTAAAACAATGCTAAATTCAAGTAAAGTAAACAATGAATTCTAACTTTAATGAAACATTTTCCCAATCTTAATGTTATTTAAAGTGTTTTACCACTAAACAAAGCCTTGCAAGACATCTGAAACCTTCGATCACAGTTTTGATTTTAGAGACAGGCAGTGTGGTCAGCGGTGTAAGGGCGACATGTAGCTCATGTAATATTAAGCAAGTGTCCTTTTTCTTTTCCGTGTCAAAATAATTGGACAAATTTAACTATTTTGTTTTAAAATAGATGTTTTATTATTTCTTTACATTCAAATTGCCCATTAAACAACATTAAAGTGGTCTTTCTCCTTTGAAACCTGGTAAAACAATGTAAATTAGCCCTGAAAAAATCGCATAATTTACCGCATAATAGTCCTATCTTATCGCACAATCTACCCTGAAAATATTGCACAATTTCTGATTTTTTATCGCACTCTATCAGATGGCCTGTATTTTTATTATTTGCTGCAATTATTTTTTATTTGCAGCAACTTTATTTAACTTGCAGCAACTTTATTTTATTTGCTGCAACTTTATTTAATTTGCAGCAACTTTATTTTATTTGCAGCAATTTTTTTAATTTGCAGCAACTTTTTTATTTGCAGCATGTCCCCTGTGGGCCACCGTAGTTTGAGCCTTATGCTTTTTTCTTGTGGCTAAATAACCTTAGTTTCTTTGGTTTCTCTAAAATGCCTGGACCTGAATAGCCACATGTAGTAGGTTTTATTTTTGGCTGTGAAGATAATGATTTCCTGAATTTTTTTTTGGAATGCTAGAGGCCTAGAACTGTCTGCTAGATTGCAGAATACATGACAGTGCATCTGCAGTAATTGGAAGATGCTGGAAAACCAGTGGGCAAATTTACAAGCAAATTCATATTTAAAAAAATCACAAAGAATTCTCTCAAAGCAATTTTTTTGTGCAGAAGAAGGCTTTAAAGTTTGAACTGCTCTTTCATTATTTGCTGTAAACTGCAAATGATCATTGCAAACTCCCTTCTGCGAATTTTGACATGTCACTGTGCCCTTTAATATGGTGGCCCAGAAGGGTCACACATGCAAATTAAAAATGTTGCTGCAAACTAAAAATTTTACCTGCAAATTAAAAATGTTGCAGCAAACTAAAAATTTTACCTGCAAATTAAAAATGTTGCTGCAAACTAAAAATTTTACCTGCAAATTAAAAATTGTACATGCAAACTAAAAATATATGAAACATGAATGGGCCGACAGCTGTAAGGCCAGGTCGCACGGCTCAGACCAGGTCCTCATCACTCATACTGCGCGCGCAGGACTTTTCATTTTTAATTTGCATCGATATGTTTTCTATTTTCAATTTGTCGCACAATTTTTAGTTTGCATGTACTATATTTAATTTGCAGGTAATATTTTTAGTTTGCATGTACAATTTTTAATTTGCATGTACAATTTTTAATTTGCATGTACTATTTTTAATTTGCAGCAACATCTTTAATTTGCATGTGTGACCCTTCTGGGCCACCGTACTTTAATACCGTCACGCACACGTAAGAATTAGGCCAATCATGAGGGGCATAACAAACGTTAACCGGCAAGAAACCTGCCTATAACAAACGCCCAACATATGTCTTTGCGACTCTGCAGGATGTTAGAATGAGCTTTTGTGCACTAAATTGCAAATGGACTATACAAATAGTTTAGATGAGTGTGTGTGCTGGCTGCAACGTAGGCTATGCTAAACAGGTTCTTGTATTTTTGCATGGGTATTAAAGTGGCAAATTTCTGCCAGAAGGTTCTTAATCCACAGGTTCTTATTAGTGGGTGTTTACTCTATTTAAGTGTTTAATGAAGAACAAAGCATATAAAATAATAAATGGATATGTTATAGTTAAGTTTTTATCTCAGGTAATTTTTATTTTTCTTTTGTTTCAACTTCATTAGCATACATTACCCATACCCAAAAACAAAAGAAAAACAAAAAATTACAAGAGGTAGAAAATCACAACAGATACATTACGGTGACCGCAAAAATAAAAAGGGTTCAGTATAAATAATTGTTAAACTGTACATAGTTAAAACCCTATCACTCCCAGAGTCAATTATGGATCCATAAAATTTGGTTCTTACTCTTGAGCCTCTGGACGAAACCCCTTTATCAGTACTCTCACATGATACTATTTGTTTTCAGTATTGGACGAAATGAAATTTCGACTTCTTCGTTACTGACGTTTTGATTTTGTCAGTGTACTTTTGGAAGTGAAGAGTAAAAACATCAATAACTTTACATACCGCCATGTCATCTCTCGCTGTCTTGCTGGCATAAAGGCAGTAATAGTTATCCCTCTCATGATACCATAGTTGTAGCTCTCCTGCCGCATCATTATCCTTACTCCCCCATGACACTGTTCCACGTACCACATCATGTATCTGTGTATAGCCCGACCGACTGAGCCGATTGAACCAGTGGGCCATATTGGAAATATTGGAAGAGCACCACGTCCCCAGGCTCTCATCCTACTGAAAATCGCACCTGCCGCAAGGACTTATGGGCTGCATTTGTTCTCTGAGACGATTTTTATTTTCTTTCGTTTTTGTTTTTATTTCCCATGTGGTGGAAAGAAAACTCAGAAAAGATCAACAAAATGCACATTCAAGGTGACGTTTTTCATTTTTCTCAAAATGCTTAACGTTTGAAAACGATGCTCTGTGCTCAAGTAAAATTATGCTGACAAATACAGGCAAATAGAGAAATTCTCAGTGTAACGGAATGCAGAGGCAAGCACTTAAAAAGAAGCGTAAACCCGGTACACAAAAATATGTGACAGCGAATTTTCCCAGTCACGGTTTTCTCTTTTCATTTTTTATAAGTGTGATGTCGCCACCGGGATTACTACTCTCTCTGTAACCTGTCAGACCTGCTCCACCTTTGCAGATTTTCTCTTTTGTAGTTCGCTCGTTTCGCCTTATCCAGGCGAAAATGGTCTACGGCGCAAGCGAAACGAAAAATACTGGCTAAGTGTAGGTTATGTTCTCGTCCGTTGCTTGCTGTCTTAGGAACGGACAGTTAAAACAATTTAAAAAAATGATAGAGAGGGACGGGGAAAGCAAAAATATTTTATACAGGCCAAAACTCTTGAAAAAATTCATGCAAACCAGAATTAAAACAAAACAAGACGCCTAAAGTCGTTTCCGTGGGATGCGTTGGTCTATGGAAGCATAATGGCGTTCTATCTGAATTTGGAAAAATTAGGGAAACCGGAAAGATGTGTCATGATGTTATGAGCATCGATGAGTAGGTTACCTGTATGGGTTGGTTTAATGTGTTTATGACTGAATTTATAGTAGCCTGTGTGGCAAGCTACTATTTCTCCCTAATCCACATCCTCTTTTTGCTTCCTCCCTATCCCCTACCCCTTTCGACACCTGCTACGCAAGCTAAATTTATAGTTGTCAGTGGTCGCAAGGATGGAGTTGATCCTGTTTTGATCTATCGCTATGTAGTTATTTTCGTAGCACGATTTGGATAAGAAAAAGAAGCTATTTTGCTTCAAAACAAGGTTTACCCGTGTAACTTAAATGGGAATGTTACGGAAACAAGTAACGGAGAACATGCGCATAATGCTCTCTGATTAACCTGAACAGGGACTATATGTATAAAGATACGTCATATCTTGGTAGTAAGTTGCCACTGGTAACTTTTTCAAAGAGAAATAAACATTGTAGTTTTAGGCTGATGGCACAAAACAAAACAAAACATCCGCTTGCTTTATCCAGGGTTACAAAGTTCGATAAAGTTCCAATGTTTTAACCCAAGATGAAAGCCAATATTCCAAGATGCTCTTGATATGGTTAAAAATTAATTGCAATGTGTTTCCAAGGTCTCAAAATTAACATAGTTCCAATGATTATCCCTGATTCCAAGATACAGTGAAACCTGTATTAAGCGGACACCCTTGGGGAATGCTGTAATGTCCGCTTAATACAGGGTGTCTGCCTAATACAGGTTTTGATAGATAACGTCATATGAGGTGTCAAATGCCATTCAAATGAACAGTGGAAACGTTTACAATACTCCCAGAGACTATGACGATATACGTTTGCATTAATTTCTTTATTAAAGATGATAGTACCATAAACTTAGATTGCAACTCAAATTGGTAGCACTCAGATGAGTGAAACAAGCTCTATAGAAACAAAACGAAATAGAAAACAACACTGCACTGTGAAACTAATCAAATAAGTTCGTCAAGTCACGTTTTTTAATTTAAAAATATTAACATTTGTGTGTGGCAATCTTTCGCATTTCCGGTGTCTGGCATGTTGCGAGGCGGAATTTAATTACAAGTGTCCGTAGGTGGTACTATACAAAAAAAACGCGATTTTTATGAGAAATTGTCGAAAATTTTTTTTGCTCGTGTTCACATCTTTTATGATTCAATTTTTTGGCAGTATAGTGTTTTTGTCAATATTCTGTTCGTATATAGTGATAAATTGCAATTTTGAAAGAAGTGGCACTTGGTTTCCATGGCAACGCGTTTGTTTACGCGTCGTTTTGGGGCTGAAAAGTGCCTTGAAACTTGTTGAAAGTGCTCTCAACGAAGTTTTCTGGCCGAGGCACACACCCTGGGAGACTGGTATCCATCAGCCTCGTTTTCAAGTACTTTGAGCAAACAATAAGGCCTTTTGCAATCGCTGAGCTGTGTGAATTTTCACGAGTGACACGAGTTTTCGTACAAAAATGCCAAAATTTTCGTCTCAAAGACGCAATAAGCGAAAATTTCATGGAAATCGTTTTACGAGTAAGCAAAGAGTTCAAGACGAAGAAATAGTTGCTTTGGAAAGCACTTCAAGTGGATCGGGAGCGAGTTCTTTGCACTGTCAGAAGGAAGCGGAGGAATGTTCGGCTTCGTTTCAAAAGCTTGTGACAAATACCCAAGAAGGGAAGCCTAAACCAGAGGTAGACGACCAAATTTCAGAGGAAAACAGTCCTGCTATTACAGGGCTTAGATTTTGTGATATGGAGGTGCTGTCGTCTGTTTTTGCGCAGCTACGGTGCGGCGACTGTGGCAATTTCAGCCTTTTGCTCATGGAAGACAACATGAAGCGGAAGGGATGTGCCTCGACTTTGCGTTTGTTGTGCGAGCATTGTGGATGGAAACATTCCTTTTGCACTTCGAAGAAGCAGGGGAAGAGCTACGAAATAAATCGGCGTCTTGTCTATGGCATGAGAACCATTGGCAAGGGTTATGCAGGAGCAAGAAAATTCTGTGCGATCATGAACATGCCTCCACCTCCCACTGAAAAAGCGTTCATTTTCAACTCACGTGTGATCGGCCGTCACGTCAAAGAAATAGCAAAAGAGAGTATGAAGAAAGCCGGTCAAGATATTTATGCCTTCAAAAACCAATGCACTGCGTCTGAAGCTGGACCATTTAATTGTGGCGTTTCATGTGATGGCACATGGCAAAAGAGAGGCTACTCGTCACGCAATGGTTGTGTGACAGTAATATCCATGGACACAGGAAGGGTGCTCGATGTAGAAGCCCTCAGTCAAGGTTGCAAACAATGTGAGCGCCATGAACACTTAGATAAAACATCTCTTGAATATCAGACTTGGAGAGCTGAGCACACTAAGTGTAAAGCTAATTTTCGGGGATCAGCACCAGCTATGGAGCCGGAAGGAGCAGAGCACATATTTCAAAGGTCTGTAGAACTGCACAACCTCAGATACACTGAATTCTATGGGGACGGTGACAGTAAAAGTTTCAGTCGAGTAAAAGGAGTGTATGAAGATGCTGGTATTGAAATGGAAAAGAAGGAATGTATTGGCCATGTCCAGAAGAGAGTGGGAACTGCACTTCGTAAATTGAAGCGTGAGAATCCAGGCCTGGGAGGCAAGGGCAAACTGACAGACAGTCAAATTGATAAACTGCAGAACTATTATGGCATAGCCATAAGATCAAATGTTGGAGATCTTGCTGGCATGAAGAAAGCCATTCATGCTAGCCTGATGCATTGTGCGTCTACTGAGGCACGCCCACTTCATGACCATTGCCCAACAGGGGCAGTAAAAGTGACAGTAAAAGTTTCAGTCGAGTAAAAGGAGTGTATGAAGATGCTGGTATTGAAATGGAAAAGAAGGAATGTATTGGCCATGTCCAGAAGAGAGTGGGAACTGCACTTCGTAAATTGAAGCGTGAGAATCCAGGCCTGGGAGGCAAGGGCAAACTGACAGACAGTCAAATTGATAAACTGCAGAACTATTATGGCATAGCCATAAGATCAAATGTTGGAGATCTTGCTGGCATGAAGAAAGCCATTCATGCTAGCCTGATGCATTGTGCGTCTACTGAGGCACGCCCACTTCATGACCATTGCCCAACAGGCAGTGCAAGCTGGTGCCGGTATCAGCAGGATAAAGCCAATGGCACAAAGCTTTACAAGCATGGGCCAGGCTTACCTTTAGAGGTAATTGCAAAATTAAAGCCAGAGTATATTTGACTCAGTGAGGACAGCTTGCTTGAGAAGTGCTTGCATGGCAAGACACAGAATCAAAATGAATCTTTAAATGGAATGATTTGGCAAAGAGTCCCAAAAGAAGTTTACGTTGGAAGAGAAACATTAGAATTAGGACTGTATGATTCAGTTTCCCATTTTAATATTGGAGCAGTAACTGTTATCAAGCTGTTCCAAGGCTTAAACATTCCCCCTGGAAAATATACTGAAGAGGGGTGCAAACTTCAAGATCAGCTACGAGTGGACGGTGCGGAGAATAAAAATAAAGCAAGCACTAAGAAGAGGAGAAAAGTCATCAGAGGCCTGAAGAAAAGAAAAGGTGACAAAAACAAGCAAAGAGAGGGTGTAAACTATGCCTCTGGAGAGTTCTAATTGAGTTATATTTGCAGGAACTCTGTGACAGTCTCAAGAATTGCATTTCACAAACTTTAACCCATTTTTTCTCATAATTTTGAATTTTACGGAACTAGCAACATGCTAGCAGCCATAACTTTCCATGGTTTTATTCAATTCTTTTCATTTTTGGAGTGAAAAATCTCCATATATTTTTACATGCAATGAACTACAATCATGTACTCTGGTGCAATCCTTGTTGTCTAACAGGCCAAAGTTGGATCCTTATTTCTCTGAATTTTGAATGTCAATATGCTTCTTGCGATAATTTTGGATCTATGAGACTGAACAGTATTTCTTTAGTTCATTGCATGAAATAGCATTTAAAGAATAAATTCCAGAAGTTTTAGCATTTTTCTTTGTAACGTGTTGGAGATAGAAGTGTTTTAGTACGGGCAACTCTAGGGGGTATCTTTTTGCCATTATTGGTTGCCATGGTAACTGATCAGGTCCAAAAGTGTAAAAATAAACTTATCTTGTGTTGTAGTCTAAAAATGCATTGGTAAACTTTTGCAAAATAACATAAGAAAAAATAGTGATTTTTGAGGATTGTACAGGCAACAATAGAAATGACTATTTCAGGTACTTTTTAGGTGTCCGCGTCCGCTTAATAGAGGTGTCCGCTTAATAAAGGTTTCATTTAAAGAAAATAAGGGAAATAAATTTGGGGACTTCGGCTACTGTCCGCTTAATAGAGGGTGTCCGCTTAATACAGGTTTCACTGTATAATAAGTTTACTAAGGTCCTGATCCGTGTCCCATCCAGAAGTCCAATCCATGCCGAAAGCGAGTCGTCGATCGACGAGGACAATATTTTCGCGATTTCCACAGGAAAAAATAACGGATTCCCATTTTTGGATATTTTAGGGTATTGAAAGAATACCCATAAAAATCCCAAACTTGGCAAAGTGAGACAAGTCCCAACCAGGGAATTCCCAACAAAGTTCCCTAATTGGGACTTGTCTCACCCCTCCAAATTTGGGATTTTTGTGGGTATTCTTTAAATACCCTAAAATATGCAAAAAAGGGAATCTGTTATTTGTTCCTGTGTAATTCACCGCCAATCGTCAAGGGTACGAGTTGAAATTTACGCGATTTAACCTCCCATCGTCAAGGTGTTTTCGATAAGAAAGGAAAAAACTGAACTCTAGCTGTGCTCGGCAAAAACTGGCGAACTCCGAATAGAAAAATCTATCGGAAATCACGGCCCGCAACCAGACGCTACTAAAACCTTATGAAGAAGCTAGACCTAAACAAAAAAGAATCATGAAGGGAAGAAATAATTTGGCTTAGGTCACCTTTCGTGACTTGCCAGTATCCCGAAGGATTTCGCTGGTTAACAAGCCATCCTAAACCACGAGTGGTAAAACTCAAGGGCGACAAATTTGCCAAGAAACGTTCTGATTTCAACGTTCTTCAGAGGAAGCAAATCGATTAAAAATCGATACAGATTTTGTACAATCTGATTGGTCGGCTTGGAAGAAGAGATAATCGATAAAGATTTTAGGCCATCCTATTGGCTGGCTTTGCAATTTGTTCGTACAATGAAACGTTCTGAAACGTTCTTCAGAGGAAGCAAGTGGATCAAAAATCGATAAAGGTTTTGTACAATCCCATTGGTCGACTTGGAAGAAGAAATAATCGATAAAGATTTTACGCAATCCTATTGGCTGGCTTTGCGATCTTTCGCGCGAAAACTTGATATCTTCACATGTGAAAGTAACATGTTATCTTCACATGTGAAAATATCACCGTTGCTATGGCTTCACAATAAATCGCCCCCTTTCCCCTTTTTTTTTCATTGGTGTGTATATAATAAATAGAACATTACATGGCCGCTTGGAGATACTTAATTTCTCTTCTCGTGTTGAAAAACTATTTCACTCGTTCGTTGCGCTCACTCGTGAAATATTTTTCGACACTCGAAGAGAAATTTCGTATCTCCGCGCGGCCATGTAATATCCTCTCTAACATCCTCGAGGCCTACCATAAAAATTGCATGTATTTCCACATAAAACGCGGTCTTTACAATATGTAACATGCCTTCATTAAAAATTTGTATAGGTTATAGTATTATTTGTAGTTGGCATGAATTCGAATACCACGAGTGATCATTCGAAATGGTTATACGGGACAATTTTGAAATACCACGAGTGGTATTTGCGCAAATATCAAGTACAAATCATGCCATTATTTTTTATACTACTCAGACTTGAGAAAGATTTGTAATTTTCACATGTAGGTATTTCAAAAAAAGCTGAAATACCACTGCTCTAAGCCAATCAAATTGCAGAAAATTTCTCATATAGTAGTATAAGGGAAGAAATACAGCAAATGACGTGGACACATAATTTCAATAACCTTGTCCAAAAAGCAATATTAAAAAAAGAAAAGAAAAAACTAGAGTAAATTGAAGTATAATTGATTCCCGGCTGCAAACTGAATAACGTTGAATAAAATGAACAAAGATTACCGGCCATAAAAAGTTTGCTCCCGACATTTGGTGTTTATTCGGAGTCATCCCTTACATTATGATATTTTTATTCCTATTTAAAGATGGATATTATAATTTTCCAGTTTTTGCAAAACCAAGTGACGAAAATATTCAGACCAGAATTGTGTACTCATGTAACTTTTATCCACAGAATTATTTTAATTTTATTCGTTGTCATGATCGTCTGGACCTTAATCGTGGTCGAAGAGAGTTCGGGATTTACTGCAGAACTGACTCGTGCAACTCCGGTAAAGGTTGAAAATATTTGGATAAGATGAAAGTAAGACGACGTGGAGCGAGGAGATCAGATAACGGCTGTATTCGCAGGTTACTAGAATAAACTTGTTCATGGTAGTGAAACTTGGACTAAGCTAAGGTGCTCAGGACGGAACGTCCATTTTAAACCCATTCATTACAAACCGTAGGCTCGAATCCCGAAACATTGAGTTTGGACTCGAGTTCGAATTCGAGTTCATTATGAGCACATTGTTCAGTAGGTGAGTATACACTATTTAAAAAAATATCGTCTTATTTCTAATTTTTTTTTTCTTTTCTAACTGTTCAGCACAATTTTATGGTATTTTTTAAAATATATACTGCTGTTGATCCCCGCAGTTTCTTGGAGGGAGTTTAAATGACATCGTTAACATATGCGAAGAAATGACTGTCTGTGATAAATGTTGGTACATTGAAACCTGTATTAAGCGGACACCCTCGGGGAATGCTGTAGTGTCCGCTTAATACAGGGTGTCCGCCTAATACAGGTTTCGATAGATAACGTCATATGAGATGTCAATGCAAATGCCATTCAAATGTACAGTGGAAATGTTAAAAATACTCCCAGAGACTGACGATTTACGTTTGCATTAATTTCTCTACCAAAGTGGACCAATTGGTCAAAGTACCATAAACATAAATTGCAACTCAAACTTGAAGAAATCAGATGAGTGAAACAAGCTCTATACAAACAAAACGAAATAGAAAACAATACTGTACTGTGAAACTAATCCAATAAGTTCGTCAAGTCACGTTTTTTAATGTAAAAATCGAAAACGTTGTGGGTGGCAATTCAAGGTAATCTTTCGCATTTCCGGTGTCTGGCATGTTGGGTAGTGGAATTTGATTACAAGTGTCCTTTTAAAAGTTGGTAACGATAGAAATGACTATTTCAGGTACTTTTTAGGTGTCCGAGGTGTCCGCTTAATAAAGGTTTCGTTTAAAGTAAATAAGGGAAATAAATTTTGGGACTTCGGCTACTGTCCGCTTAATAAAGGGTGTCCGCTTAATACGGTGTCCGCTTAATACAGGTTTCACTGTATTAATAACCACTTAATTGTATTATCAACTTCACCCTTATTGTTTTTTTTTTTTTAATTTTAATATTTCGCATAAATTATTGCGGTGGTGATTTTCTTTTCTTTTTTCAGAATGCAGATCGTTTTTCCAACAAAGACAATGAACTGCAATGGACGGCTTGCGTGAGCCTGTATGTACGAGGGACTGGTCGTCTAAAAGACACTGGGGGTACTCCCTATAATGGCCTAATACGGAGACAGCTGCGGGGAGCCTCGGCCCGAAAGGGGGACTTTTTTCGTGAAAAATGGTAAATAAAGGGGTAAGGGTTGGACCTCGGGTACGAGTCTAATTGTCATATCCGGCCTTGTGTTGTGAGTAGAATGGAGGAGACTTTGTCAGACTGCAGCTTGCAGCATGTAGTTTTATACAATGTATCCTTTTTATCCTTATTATTTTTTCTTTTCCAGTTTTTTGTTTTGTACGTCATTTTCGCCTCTCCTTTTCAAACAACTTTTATTGCAACATTCTCCATCTATATAATATTGTGATCCCTATCATAAAATTAATTCAGTAACATCTGTAAACCTGTAGAAGGCTGGTATGGCCAGCCGAAATATCCTTATGAAAAAACAATACACGTTGTTCTGATCAGCTTTGCAGTAGTCTTTGGACTTCTCGTTTTTGGTTCTTAATATTTTGGCTGATTAGATCTCTTTTATAGAGATCCAACGTTTATAACCAGCAGGATCTCCGTCCACGGTTTTTGCAGTTATTTTAATTCCTTTATACAATGTAAATTATGAAGGAACTTGTGCTAATTACCCCCAGTAGAGATTGTTACTAGGGGTGGTAGTTATCTGCCATCAGGCGATCATAGACGACGAGCAGTCTCTCTTTTTTCTTGGTCCGTCGAGCAAAACGCCCGAGACACGCAAATGACCACGCGCGTGACTGAAGGCGCGAGACGGGAGAGGCACGACTTCGTCGCCCAAAGCTCGCGCGCTCGTGCACCTCCCTTTTTAAATCTGAAGAAAAAGAGAGACAGCTCGCAGTCTAAGGCATCGTCCACACGTATCCGGAAATTTGTGAAAACGAAAATGTTTTTTTTTACGAATACGGCTTGCGTCCACACGTATCCAGCGTATTTTCCGGCCGTATCTGAAAATTTTTGAAAACGCTCTCCAGAGTGG